TGTTTGCTAGTCTGTCATCCACATCAATGACTTGCTTTTCTATCATATCAGCTGCAGCTTCTGATGTGACTCCGAGAATTTAAGAGTTTTTATTTCCTCTGTTTCTTCCTTTTCTCTTCCCATCAGAATCTTCCATTCTGGTTCCATTAGTCCCCCAGTGCAGCAAAGATTGTTGTCAAGTATTTTCTCCTGTTTTCTGATATATTTCCCTTCTGACATACAGTCACTTATGTTTCTGTTGGCATCAGTCGAGGGGGAGCGCTGTTCTGTGTACAGACCCCATGGTAGATCTTTACTAGGGAGTGGCGACCATTTAATTTTAAAAGAAATATTTATCTTGAGCTAAAAAAATTTCTTTAACTATAACTTCTGTTTCATAACAAGTTAGTGGCTGGAGAACTAACCTAAACATCAGCACAAGGAACCTACAAGGCAAACCCAGAAAGAGGAGCATCCTGCACACAGCTCACTAATGCTTTCACTATTAGTGTCCTAAGAAAGAGACTTTACCAGATAGAAACAAACCAAGGGGAAAGGTGAGCTCTTGGGTTGGATACTGATTTTAATAAGCCAGATGTGGCAATAATTTAGCTGCCTAGGGAAATTGCAATGCACCCTCTGGTGGCACAAGATGAAAACATATGATCACAACTGTAGTATTGAGTAAATGAAACTAGTGACCAAAAGTCTGTGAAACAATAGAATACGAGAGCATTAATGGTGGGTGTGCTTGTCAGTCTCAATGCAGGAGCCAGATACCAGGGAATCAAGTGTTCAAGGTCATCTTCAACATAGTGAGGTCAAACCAACCTGAATACCTAAGACTGCATTCTGAAACAAAACCAAAACCCCAATACAATGTTTTGGCTTTGCACATACCTATACTCACACAAACCATACAAAGTTATAATGTTCTCCAAAAATTAGGAGTATTCTGGACTTTTTTTAAAATTATCTAAGGGCTGGAGGTGTAAGTTAGTGATAGAACATTTATCTGGTATTTGCAAGGACCTGAATTCAATCCCCAATACCAACATACATATGCCCACACATGCCCATGCATGCACACACACGTGCATGCACACACACACACACACACACACACACGTATTAGAGCTAGCTAGACAAAGTAGCTTACTCCTGTAATCTCAGAACGTGGGAGCCTGAGGTAAGAAGACCACCAAGTGTGCAAGCTCAATTGGCCACGTAATGAGTTCCAGGGCAACCTGGCTTGAGTGTGACTTTGTCCCCCCAAAAAAGTTTTAATAATCTTTTTGTATACTGAAAGCAAAACCCAAGCATCACACTCGTTAGAAGAATCTGCGCTGTGAGTCACACCCACCAGCCTGGGGTGATTTCGTGTCACACTTTTGGGGGGGAGGGTTTCACATTGTCTTTTAAAGTCCAGATATCTTTTTTATAGTTAAAATAACAGCACAAGTGATACCATTTCCAACTTTTTGGCACAGTGCAGTGAAATTACTCATATCCACAGTGGAGCAGCCTTCACCACGTATCCCTCTCCAGAGGTGGCTCACACTGCTAAGCAGACATTCTGTACCCAATAAAGACAAACTCCATGCTCTCCTCTACCTAACCTTAAAAAAACCCTTTCAGGGCATGGTGACACACAACATTTAATCCCAGCATTTGGAAGGCAGAGGCAGGTAGACTTTTGCGAGTTTGAGGCCAAACTGGTCTACAAAGTAGGTTCCAGGACAGCCAGGGCTATATAGTGAGAACAAAAAGAAAGGAAAATAGAAGGAAGGAAGGAAGGAAGGAAGGAAGGAAGGAAAGAAAATGAAAGGAAAGGAAAGAAGAGAAGAGAAGAGAAATCTTTAAATAGCAAGCCTTAAGCTGCACAGAGGCTGGTCCAGCCCTAACTAACACCCAGAGATTCTGGTCACTTTGAGCAAGCATCAGAACACGTCCTTCCAGAAATCTCCACAGCTGCCACCATCAAATATTCAAAGAATGGTCATTATGGTAGCACCACACCACCTAACACGCGAGGAGCACAGGAGCACTGTTTTCTAGTGTTGAAGGAAACAGTCGCCCTCCCCAGAAGCCACAAGTTTATATGCTAAGGTTCAGATACCCTGCAAATTAACTTTGTTATCACCTAAAACTGTGGTGAACAGTTTACCATTTGCTGCAAAATTGTTCTGATGAGTGAGCAAGAGGTCTATGTAGCTTCAGCCAGTTTTAGGTTTGACTCAGTCTAATTTCAAAAATCCAAATTTGGGTTGTGGACATGGTTAAGTCTACAGCAGAGTCTCAATCCCTGGGCCCCACATGGTGGCAGAAGTGAGCAGGCTCCCTCCAACCTCTGCACATGTGCTACAGCACCACCCCACATATACAGCCACATACAAAATAATACATACATGCTAAAAATTCCTAATTTGTTTTTTTTTCATAAATAGAAATTCACAGTTCAGGATTGGAATGGAAATTTTATTCCAGTTTGGGGAGGGGGGAGTAGGGAGGGAGACGGGAATAGGGAGTAGAGAAGAGGGATGCCTTCTTCCTAAAATAACTGCTCCCAGAAATTTTACTTGAGCTTATATGTCTTTCAATAGAATCGTCGCATAGCTTTACCTAGATGCAAGAGAAGTCACTTGTAGAAGAAGCAATGCACTTTTATTCTAGATGGTTTATGTCCAAGTAAATGTCAGCAATTTCCGTGCCCCAGAAATGGACATCAAATGGATATACTATGTCTAAAAGAATTTTTTAGTATTAAGGTTATTTCTTTGGTCTCTCTTTTATTCCTTTCTTTTCACAGTTGTAAACAATGTTGTGTTTAACAGAAAGAAGTGGAAGAAGTATTGGGGTAAATTACATTGTAATTAAAATAACTTGAAGCACTGGTGTTGGAAGGCTAGGGGTCAAGGAGAAGATAGACACCTTGAAACACCATTGATACAATTGTTCAGCATCTTGTTTAGAGCCAAAAGTGCTGTTATAATTAACTTTCTAGACTAGTGCTAAAGCATCCTTCCACTGCAGGTCAAGGAACACCGCGGAAGCCGACTTCGTGTCCCTAGATGAAAAAGAACAGAGTCAACTTCCCAGTTGACTTTGGGATGTCTCGGTGGCTACATTTCTTGAACCCAGCATCTAGCGCAGCAGGCTGTGCTGTGGTTAAGCGCCAACTGTGAAAGGCGCACAGCTTGTTAACAGCCATCACTTGTGTATCGTATTTTTGGTTTCCAGGGGGATGCAAACCACAGGGTGTGGTCTATTACTCCATCCTTAGAGAATCTCACAAGGGGGCGGCATTTTATCCCACACTGTAAGCAGATGAAAACGAGGAATGTGAGTTGGGCACCTCATCGCTTCCCAAGGAGTTGGGCGGTGTAGCCTCGTGACCAGGGGAGAGGGCTGATGGAACCAGACCAGGAAGACTTCATGATGCTCAGCCTCTTCCTGACTTTATAATGAAATACAGGAGTAACATCTAGGCCTGTCCTTTGTATATCTGGTGGCCAAACCATTTTTCTATTTATCACATTTGACCTCGATGGTGATATATTAACAACTCCTAGAATTTTGTCCAAGTTAGAATACTATGTCTCCTTAAATTGACTTTGAATAGTTGTCAGCCTGCTTGGTTCTTTGAGCCACACCATGCCCACTATTTGGATTATTTTTTCTTTCTTTGGCTCTTGGGGAAGATACATGATTACTGAGACCAGGATATGGTGGTGTCCCTGCCAACTGGTACCCTTCCACAGTCAGCCTTGTAAGAAACTTATTGCTTCTCCTGCTCCTTCAGTTTTGACTTCCTAAGGGAACAAGATCCTGCAGCTGCAATCAGCCATAGCAGGCAGAGAGCAGGCACCAGCAGCTGTCCTAGAAGCAGAAATGGTTCTTGCATGTAAATCAGGGTGCAGGGAGAGGTCACGCTAAATTAGAGTGTGGGAGCTTCATGTCATGTTAAGCCAGAGTGTGAGAGGCTGACGTCATGCTAAATCAGGGTGTGTGGTTGGGGGATGATATCATGTGAGATCCTGGAAATGAGTATTGAATAGATGAATAGCCATCAGCTCTTTGCATTGTTTAGGATAATTTTCTCTAAGAGAGTAAGGGAGTAGGCCAGCAGGATTGCTCAGTGGTGAGATGTTTCAGCAGATAAAGGCGAGTACCTAACCATTGAGCCTGATGAACCGAGTTTGATCCCCAGAGCCCGTAAGTTGTTCTCTGACTTACACACATGCTGTGACACACTCACCCATGCGTGCACATCAATCAGTCACTCAATCAAATGTAAAGTAAATGGGGGAGCTTGAACTTCATGCTGCAAGTCCATCCTCTCAGAAGTGAGGAGGTTGAGGCAGAAATATGGCAAGTTCACGTTCTGTGTGAGCTGGGGATAAAGTTGGGCAGCTCAAACAGCATGTGAGGGGCCCTGGGTTCAGTCCCCAGCAACATACACACCACACACACACACACACACACACACACACACGCACAGGCACACACACATCACATACACACATACGCACACACACGTCACATACACATATATGCACACACACAATCACATATACACACACATCACACATATATATGCACACACATCACATACACATATACGCACACACACATCACACACACGCACACACACACACACACACACACACACACAGGTCAGGGAAGGTTGAGAGTCAGGAAGGACCTTCCTTCTGGGCAGTAGCAGGAGCTTCCTAACTGCCTCAGGCTTTCCTAGAAAACTCTATGACTGTTCCACGTAGGCCCCAGAGAAGGACTTGGGATGTTAGTGCATAAGTGACCAACACTGTCTCGGGAGGAAATGGGAGGCTCCCCCCGCTTCCCTTTCTTGCAGGCCTACTGTGGTTTTTCATGATGTCATCCATTCATCATTGTGAGCTGACCAGCTGCCCCCCAGGCCTTGGCCAGCGGCCCAGGGTCAGAAGGGAAGAAAGAGATCCCAGGACAACTGTGCAGAGGGCCCCTGAGCATGTGCAAACAGGATGACATCAGTTCCACCTAGACAGTCTTGGTGGAACTCGAAGAAGACTGTAAAAATTATAAGACCTTATCCAACCTTCCCTTCCTTGAATGCCTGGGAAAAATTCAGGGGCCTCTTGCCTGTGGAAGGGGAGCCGAACCCTGGAGTGGGCCTAGGAGTGGAGGAAGGACTGCTCTGCCAGATGGTTCGTTCTCCAGAATTCAACCTGTTTCCTAACTCTGTGGTGTTTGAAAGCAACTTTGTCCAGGTACTCTTGGGTGACTCAGAACAGCCCTCCTTGATTTTTCTAAACCCGTTCCCGAGATGGGACCGAAAGAGTTATCCTTAGGACCGCCGTGGGAGATGAGCTGATGCAGGAGAATTAGCGGGCTGAGACACAGGCTGGCCAGGGCTTCTCCTGTAAGTGTACACACAGCAAGAAAAGCCAGGCATCCTTTGCTGAGTGGAGGATGCGGCACTGGAATCCCTAATTTATGTTATTTCCAGGTCTATCACCTGATGCCAAGTTAAGGCAGTGAGGTTTTTTGACACAGGGTTTCTCTGTAGCTTTGGAGCCTGTCCTGGAACTAGCTCTGTAGACCAGGCTGGCCTCGAACTCCCAGAGATCCGCCCGCCTCTGCCTCCCGAGTGCTGGGATTAAAGGCGTGTGCCACAACTGCCCGGCTGACTTGGTGTGTTTTTATCTCCTTGCCTGGGCTCCCCTTGAGCCAGACAGAACTTTGAAGGAGGGACCATGAGGATGACTGTTTTCAAAGCAAAGTCAGGAAACTGTCATCAAGGGAGTATCTACAGACACGAAGCAGATGCCAAGGAACCCCTAAGTTACTTTTCTTGCTCTGTGTTAATAGTAGGTCCTTTAAGTCTTATTTAAAAATTCTACCTGGTGGTACAGTCTGTAATCCCAGCCCTCGGGATGTTGAGGCAGGAGGATACCCTTGAGAATGGATCTATCCTGGGCTATAGAGTAAGTCTCCGTTTTGCTTCATTGTTTTTCTTGTTTAAATAACTAAAAAAAATAATAATAATTTAAAAAACATCCATAAGCCCCACTAGAGTCTTCAAACCAATACAGGTTAAAATATTTGCCAAAAAGCAATGCTTAAGTCCTCCTTTCTAAGGGACATTTGGCAATGTCTGAGGACATTTTCAGTTGTCAGAATTTGGATGCTAGTTTGCTAAGGGCATCCAGGATACAGAGGCCAAGGACGCTGCTAAACACTCCCACAACACAGCATGGCCTTCTTCCCACAAAGAAGCTAAGTGACTATCATAGTGTGGAGGCACGTGCCTTTAATCCCCACACTCAGGAGGCAAAGGCTGGCAATCTCTCTGGTCCTGGTCTGCACAGAGAGTTCTAGGCCAGTCAGAGCTATCAAAACCAAACATCAGTGCCGAGTGAAGAATCTCGGCTGAAACATCTTGCTGCTTTTTGCAAATGCTCAGGCTGGGCCCGGGGGCTTCATTGCAGGTCAGAAGGGGGAGCAGAAACTGGAAAGAAATCTACAAAGCCTCCAACACAATGGCCCTTGGGGTGACCTCCTCCGTGCCTTGCCTACCCCTTCCAAACATCCTCCTTATGGCCAGAGTCAAATGGCATCAGGGGCAAAGCCAGACATGGAACAGACCATCCACAGCCCCGAGCATCATCCTGAAGAGGTAAGCAATGCAGATGAGAGTGAGGGGTGAGGGGGTAAAGGGCAGGCCGAGGTGGAGGCTGCCTGGTGCTAAACTCCAGATGGGGTGAGCTGAGAAGTCACTACAGTGACGTTACTTGGAATTTTATTATGTTGTTTTGTTTTAAACAAGATCTTTTATGGCCCAGGCTAGCCATGAACCTACTCTGCAGTCAAGGCTGGCCTTGAATTCTTGATCCACCTGCCTCCTCCTTCTGTGTGCTTAGATTCCAAACGTGCACCACAGGAGGCTGGGGAGGTAGTCCAATCATAGTGCCTGCTGTGCAAACACGAGGAGACCTGGACTTTATCCCCAGAACCCGTGTTTAAAAAAAAATGGGTATGGTGGTTCACATGGTGATTGCAGACCTGGGAGGTAGAGGTAGGGAGATCCTGGGGTCTGCTACCCACCCAGCCTAGCCTAGCTAATAAGTTCCAGGGTTAGTAAGAGACTCTGATTTTAAATAAATAAATAAATAAATAAACCAAGGTGGAAAATGCTTAAGAAATGGGACTTGGGGTTAACCTCTGACCTCCACGTACTTGCACACACACCTCCCCAAACACAGGTGGGTGGGAGTGGGGAAACATGTCTCACAGGGAGATGGATGATGTGCATGAGCTCCCGAGTTTGGATTATCAGGAGCCACGCAAAAAGCCAAGTACAATGTGTGCCTGTAACCCCAGAGATAGTGCAAGGGGTTAGAGGAAGAGAGTGGATCCTAGGGACGAGCCAGCTAGTCTAGCCAGATGAAGAAACCATAAGCTCGGGATTCCACGAGCAATGTCTGAATAATTTTGGTGGAAGTTTTCGAGTGACTGTCTTTCCAACTCACAAGCCCACTCCCTTCCTCACGAGTGCCTTTTTTCTTACATTTTTTAAAGTTCTGATTTTGTTTTAAGCATGTGAATGTTTTGCCTGCATGTCTGTCTGTGTGCCATGTTAAGTGCCCAGTGCCTGCAAAGACTCAGATCCCCTGGAGTTATAAATGGTTATGAGTCACCCTGTGATTGGCAGGTCTTCTGTAAGAGCAACGCGTGCTCTTTTTCTTTCTTAAGCAACTGCCCCTTTAAAAAGATGGTGGGGGCTGGAGAGATGGCTCGGTGGTTAAAAGCACTTGCTCCTCTTCCATAGCAGCCAACAACTGTCTGTAAGTCCAGTCTCAGGACACCAGACACTTCTGGATAATGTGGGCACTGCCTACATGTGGTGCACAGATAGACACGCACACAAATCCCCATATGCATAACGACAAATAATAAAATAAAATTTTAGACGGCATGGTGACACATGCCTTTAAGTCCAGTCCAGCACTTGGAAGGCAGAGGTAGGTGGATCTTTGTGGGTTCTAGGCCGGCCTGGTCTACATAGTGAGTTCCAGGGCAGGCAGAACTACATAGTGAGACCCTGTCTCAAAACAAGCAAGCAAGCAAACAAACATTTTTTAAATAGTGGACTGCACTAGGGGAAGACAGTGGCATTGAATCCTGGCTACCACACACAAACACATACATGGGTAACCTCACGCCTGACAAACATGCATGCATATAACACACACAAGTCTGGTGAGACAAGACAGGCCTTTCACAGGAAGGACTTGGGGCAAAGGGAAGCTCAGGGACAGGAGTGGAGGCTGGTCTCCAAGCTTGTCTTCCTGCTTCACGCTTCTGATTTAACGGGTGCGCAGCTAACTAGACTCAATTTCTGTATCACAAGTCACTGGCTGCAGTTTTCCTCTATAAAGCAAACTGCCGAAGTCCCGCTTAGAGCTGTAGCAAATGGTAGCATAAGGCTTGGGATAGAACCTCCATCTTGATGCTTGGGCCTTGTATCCGTTTCCTTTCTGTTGCTGTGATAAAAAAAAAAATACCCCAACTAAAAGCAGCTTAGGGGAGAGAGGGTTCATTTTGGCTTACAGTTCCCCCGGGACAGAGTCTGTCGTGGCGGGGAAGGGGAGACAAGGTAGCAAGAGCAGGAAGCTGGCTGATGATATTGCATCTAAACAGGAAGCAGAGAACAGGAAATGAGGTCTGGCTGTAAAATCTCAACGCTCTCCCCCGCCACGCCCCCAGTGATCCACTTCCTCCTTCTAAAGGTTCCGTATACTACCTTCCCTAATGGCACCATTAGCTGGGGACCGCGTGTTCAAACAAGTAAGAGTCTGGGGATATTTGACATTCACTCCACAAAAGGCTTCCTTACACAGTCTGCAAATCATCTCAAGAATCTCTAGATGTTACCAGAGGTCCAGGAAACCCCTTCATCCCTCCGAGCTACCTCGTGAGGAGCTCTCCATTATGTTGGTGTACCTGTAGCAAGTACTGCCCCCTACAGGTGACTAATGTCTTATCTAAGCCAGGTCCTTGAATGAACAAGTTGTGCAGGTGGGTCAGCTCCCTTTGCGTTTTTTCAAGGAGGAAATGGCAAAATCTCATGTCTCCGGCCACCGTACTCCTGAGCTCCATCTGTGACGGGACCCAGGGAACACTGGCATGAGAATCGTGGCAGTATGAGAGAGGCAGATCCCAGGGCCACAGCCCAGACCGACTGAATCTGAATCTTTGGGATTGTCTCTGAGAGTCCGCATCAAGCGCTCCAGGGAAATCTGCTTTCCCCAGAGTTTAGCACCACTGGTCAAGAGCTCTCTTTCCTTCCTCTAAAAGCCCCCACCCTTAAGGAGACATGTCAAAGTGATGGGGTTGTCCAGGTGTCTTCTTCTGTGTCTTAGTATTCTTCCTTTGAAGTTTGTGGAGCTTCAGATCTGTGACCACCATGAACGCATCCTGAGGTTGAGGACAGTCACCGAGAAGATCTACTTCCTAAAGCTCCACCCTGACCACCCTGAGACTGTCTTCCTCTTTTGGATCCGCCTAGTTCAAATTCTCCAGAAGGGTCTGTCCATCACCACCAAGGACCCTAGCATTCTGGTCACTCACTGCCTGGTACCCAAGAGCCTCTGCAGCCCATGTGGAAGGTCCGAGGTAAGAAATCCCCATTGCCATCCTTCAGCCAAGACCAGAGTTGGAGAAAGGAGATTTGAGCAGCCGCTGCTGAGTGCCCGAAGCAGGTGCCCTCAGCTTTAACTCTATGCCAGACATGGTAACATTTGTAAACACAGAATACCCCTTTCTAAATAACTATGCTTCCAGTAAAGGCACACAGTTGTGCAACCATCAGCCATCGCCACAATTCAGTGAAAAGAAACAAGAGAGAAGCCCTTTGTTTTTGCTTATTTTTTTTGTTTGGCTTTTTTGAGCTGGCCTCAAACTCATTGTGTAGCCAAAGTTGGCCTTGAGATGTTGAGCCTCCTTTCTCTAGCTCCCAAGTCCTGGGATTACAGGCATGTTCAACCATGCCAGGTCAAAAGAGACTTTTCTGGTATACCTGTATGTGTGCGTGTGTGCATGCATGCATGTGTGTGTGTTGAGTGGTGGTATGCACTGTGAGGGGCATGCCGAAGCCAGAGGAAGACTTCAGGTCTATTCCTCTATTGCTATTTGCCTTATTCCTCTGAGATAGGGTATTTCATGGAACCTGGAGCTCGAGGGATTTTTGCTAGACTAGTGACCAACAAGCCCCAGCAATTCTCCTGTCTCTGCTCTCCAACCCCTCACCCCCAGTGCTAGGGTTAGAGGTGGGTGTTGCTGTGAATGGCTCTTTACACAAATGCTAGGGATTTGAACTCAGGTTCTAATTCTTTCACAAGTACTATTACCCACTCCCTAGCCCATGAGGGAATTTTTAGCGTTTTCATTATCTATTCTTTTTTTTTTTTTTTTTTTTTTTTTGGTTTTTCAAGACAGGGTTTCTCTGCGGCTTTGGAGCCTTTCCTGGAACTAGCTCTGTAGACCAGGCTGGTCTCGAACTCACAGAGATCCGCCTGCCTCTGCCTCCCAGTGCTGGGATTAAAGGCGTGTGCCACCACCGCCAGGCTCGTTATCTATTCTTAACACCTCTTCCTCCCTCCCTCCTTGCACCCTGTGTGATGTGTGTGTGTGTGTGTGTGTGTGTGTGTGTACATGTACAAGTATACACGTGCCATGGCACACATGTAGATGTCAGAGGACAGCTCACCTCAGGTGTCAATCTTCATCTTCTACCTTACTTCAGACAGGGTCCCTGGTTCTCCTATGTGCACTCCAGGCTAACTGGCCCTCGACCGTTTGTGGATTCTCCTGTCTCTGGTTCCCATCTCACCACAGGCACTCTGAGGTTCCATACGTGAGCTGCTGCACCTGATTTTACGTGCATTCTGGGCATCAAGCTCTTTACTCGTTGACATCCTTTCATTACCTTCTCTCTTTTCTAATTCTTTTCTCTTCTAGGAGCTGAGGACCCAACCCAGGGCCTTGCATGCACTTGCTAGGCAAGCACTCTACCATGGAGCTAAATCCCCAACCTCAACATCCTTTTGTTAAACGTACCCCTACATGATTCCCTGTGTTGATACCCTTGTGAATGTAGTTGTTGGAGTTCTGTTTGAGGCTGGATCCTGCTGCAGAACTCAGGATGGCCTACGACTTCCAGCCTCCTGCTTTAGCCTCCACGTGCTTAGAGTACAGGCGCGTGCTGCAACGCATGGACTTGGAACCATGTGGGTGTTGTATTTGTTTGAGGCAGGGTCTGATTTATTCATGCCTTTGAGTTACAGTCCAAGATATCAGGAGTGTTCAACAAGGGAAGTTGGCAAGCAACTTAAGAATAGGTTGTAACAACAAGTTTGAGGTCACCCTGTGCCCTGACAGAAGAGAATACCTTGTCCCTATAGTAACAATAAAACCCTCAAATAAAAATAACAAAGAAGCCAAAAATAAATAAATAAATAAATAAATAGGAAGCAAAAAAGAAGAATGGGTTGTAGGCTGTAAGTTCGAGGCTGGCCTGGTCTACAGAGCAAGTTCCAGGACAGGCTCCAAAGCTACAGAGAAACCCGGTCTTGAAAGGAAAAAAAAAAAAAAAAAGAATGGGCCATGGGGTAGAGTCTTCAGAGAAACATTGAGAAAGCCCAAGTACTGAGCTTTGTGCTTTTGCTTTGGGCAGTATATGAAAAGGGGGTAAACAAGAAAAGGAAGAGCTACAGTTTTTGAGGCACAGAAAAAAGAGAAGGTTTAATAGTGAGGCTCTGGGAACAACTGTATGGGAGGGGGCTTCAAGGAACGAAAAGCACATTATTTTATTAATGGCATATTATGCCATTCTTCCCATCTCCTCAGTATGTCTTTAGGTGCATCAGATTTTCTGAGAGATATCTGATGATCAGGTGATTGATTGGCCCCCTTGGGGAGGATCCCTGGGACTCGCTGACCAGCCAATTCGGTGGAGTCAGTGAGAGCCAGGTTCAGCAAAAGGCCTGTCTTAAATATCAGGTGGAAAATGATGGAGGAAAACACTCAGTGTTGACCTGTAGCCGCTACGTGTGGACTCATTCGTGCAGGTTCAAGTACAGTACCTACCCACAAAGCAGCTGTGTAGAGGACTTTTATTAGAGGAACTCATTTTTTTAAGCATGAATTTCTCATAATATATATATACATTTAAATATAAAGCAATTAGCACTAGGTATTAAAATTCATATTAGCAAGTTAACGATACTAATTATATGTTTGCACCTTTAAGGCACCAAAGGACGTTTATACCAAATAGTTAGCTACCAACCAAGAGATTCGTTCCCGTGAAGCCGGGATGGCTGCCTCATGGGAATGGTTGGGTCCTGATGTTTCAGACTTTAGAGCCCTGGTTCTAAGAAAATGAAGCCAGCCTGGCTTAACCTCTTGCTTTGCTTGCTCCTTCTCTGTACAGTTAGTGCCGAAGAAACCTCAAGGTCCCCGGCCCAGCGAGAGCCTCATGCAGCTGATGGCCAAGGGGGAGAGTGAGGCCCTCTCTCAGATCTTTGCCGATTTGCATCAGCGGAAACAGTACAGGTACATGATTTAAATCAGGTTAACCCGGAAGACCCCAGCAGCGAGACCCTGGGTGAAGGAGCACAGTCAGGGACGTGACAGTCAGGGAGTGATAGTCTCAGGACGGTCCTCCTGTCATTGCCTTTATCTCCACACAGCAAGCGAGGTAGGCCTGACTCCAGAGGAGGTGTGTAGAAATAAAATACTTCTTCAGCATGAAAATGAGTTAGTAACAGGCACGGGAGAAGGAGAGTTAAATCCTAACCCAGCATCTAATTCTACAGAGGCATACTGCATTGCTTTAGACCTTGCTGTGTCCTGGGTTCATTTCCCCATTGACTGGGCCTCTGTTTGGACTTCGTAGAGCTCCTGAGGTTGTTCCTAAAGTGTTGTCTCCTGGGATGCTCCAGGATACAGGCCTGTCTTCTCCATGCCTGAAGAAATGTCCCTGTAGTACAGATGATTCAGTGTGATATGGGAGACAGGAAGTCCGGTGTGGTGACCCATTGCTGTCGTTCCAGCCCTGAGAAAGAGGTTGAGGCAAACAGACTCTTTCAAAATTGAGGCTAGCCTGGGCAACAGAATGAGTTCCAGACTAGCATGGACTACGAACAGAGAAAGAAAACCAAAAACTGAATTAGTAAATATCACCAGGAGAGAAAACTGAAGTGTCAAAGAAAAGGAACTTTTTTTGCTTTAAGTCAGGTTGACTTCAAATTCCCTATGTGGTCAAGAACGATCTTGAATTCCCAACCCTCCTGCCTCTCCCTCCCAAATGCTGGAATTAGAAGGAAATCTGGGCCACCATTCCTGGTGACACATAGAAGAAGAGATACCCCCCTCCCTTCAGCTTGGGGGTTGAATTTGGGGCCTCAAGCTTCCTAAGCAAGGGCTCTACCACTCAGCTGTCTATCAACCCACGAGGAGGGGCTTATCATAATAGGAACCAGTTAGAGTAACTCAGAGGCAAACCGAATAGTGTTGGGGTGGGAAGCTGAAAAGCAAGAGAGCCTAGAGACGGTCTCTCTGAGTGGTTGAAGGCTCTCAGACTGGTGCCCCAGCTTTCTGTTCTGTAATACCTAAAAGATAGTAGAAAGCCGCATCTGGATACTGTTGGGATTGGGAGTTCATAAGTACCACGCCTTTAGCATGCTCTCTGTCAGATGGAGAAGCAGATATGAGTGCTATCTCAAGAAATATTAATGTGTGTTACTAATGGTCTTGGGAAAGATTGAACAGTTTGTCAAAAGATTGTCACTGTATAAAAGATTGTTTCTGTGTACAGAAAACTGTAATTAAAAAATGGTTATGTAGAATGTCATATTCTGGGCCGTGATGATTTACACCCTTAATCCCAGCACTTGGGGAGGCAGAGGCAGGCAAATCTCAGTGAATCCAAGGCCAACTTGGTCTACAAAGTGAGTTAGTTCCAGGACAGTCAAAAGTTTTCAACTGTCAAATTACTCAATCACAGATACAATCACAGCAGGCCTGAAACTTAAGTAACTAGTGGGAGACCTTGAACCCCTGATTCTCCTAAGTGCTAGAATGACAGGCACGTGCCACACTACCTGGCTACCATGGTTTTTTTGTTTGTTCGAAACAGCGTCTGTCTTGACAATGCTGGCTCAGAATTTGGGATCTTCCTGCCTGAGAGTATAGGCATGACCACAATCCCCAGATAGTTTACTATTTATAGGACACTGTATTAGCTACTTTTCTATTGCTGTGATAAAATGCCACGATCAAGGCAACTTAGATGCACTGAGGTATGGATGGGTTTATGAGTGCAGAGTAACAAGAGCCCATCATGACTAGGAGCCATAGCAACTAGAGGCAGGCGTGGCAGCAGAAACAGGAAACTGATAGCTCACATTGTCAAATGCAAACACAAAGCAAAGAGATCTTACTGGAAGTGGCACAAGATTTTAATCCCAAAGCCCACGCTCTGTGACACATTTCCCCAAGACTGCGCCACCTAAACCTCTCTGAACAGGGTCACCAACTGGGGACTGAGTATTCAGATACTCAAGCCTATGAGTGTGTGTGTGTGTGTGTGTGTGTGTGTGTGTGTGTGTGTGTTTCATTCAAATCACCACAGACTCTTTTGCACATATTGCATTCTGAGTTACTGGCTGGAACTCAGTCCCATAGACCAAACTAGCTGCAGGGGAGGCTAAGAAGCACATTCTCCTTTAGATACACAGATTAAGTGTCCTCAGTCTGAGATGGTGGTACATGCCTGTAATCTCAACACTCAGGAGGCTGGGGCAGGAAGATTCCTGTGAGTTTGAAGTCAACCTAGACTAAACTGTCTTAAAACAGCAATTCCTCACAAAATTAGATGCTCTACCCCCAAAGGAAAAGGGAAGTGGGGTTCCTAGGGGGCCTACCACCAATCTCTGGTCTTTCATTCTGGAAGGTTAGAGGGAGCTAAGCCCCTAAAATGAAATAGGCATTAGACAAAAAGAACCAGGGAGGTAGAGAGCCAGGAAGGTTGAAAAAACAAATGACTGAGGCTTTGTCCAGAGGAAGAAACCTGATTGGTTTGGGTCAGAGAACAGGTAGAAATAGGCTGAAGCCCCACCAGGCAGGGGGAGAAGCTGTGTGGAGGATTTCCTACTTTCAGTGGGAGGGAACCTTTGCTGCATTTGACGCCTGGAGGTGCTGTGATAAAATTTGCATTTGAAAAGGTCACTCTAGATGTAGGCTGACAGTTGATTGGGAGGGAAGAAGAGACTCAGAGAGACCAGAGAAGCAGCTCAACTGGTCTGGACTGACTGTATCAAATGGGTCAGAGAGATTTGGAAAAGAAGAGTGGAGAGTATCACTTCTGCCTCCATGTTATCTCAGTAGCTTCTTTGGTTTCCCAGAACAAAGTTCCACGTGTTAATGCTTCAGATTCAGGCACCTTCCAGGCTGGTTGCAGTTATTACCGGTTTTTGCTCACTTGCAGCAACCTGCCACCGAACAGTAAAGAGCTTGCATGACGGAGATACAAGCTCCATGATAGGGCCACGGTCCTCCTCCTCAGACATATCAGAGCCCTGGGCTCTGGTCCCTACCTCCTTCCATCCCACCTCCTCTTTCCCCTTTCTCTTCTGGAAACAGTATGCATCACACCCACCCAGTGTAGCCACAGCTGGCCATATTTATATCTGTCTCTAAATCCCTAACTAGGGATAAGCTTTGAAATGTCACTTCAGGACAGAGCATGTAGCTCAGGGTGTAGTGTTTGCGGCAGCACACACAAAGCCAAGGTTTGACCCACAGTCCTGTTGCATAAACCAGGCACGCTGGTGCACGGCTATAATTCCAGCACTCAGGAGGCAAGAGGGTCAGGCGTTCAGAATCGTCCTCAGCTCCATAGTGAATTTAAGACTATGATAAGACCATGTCTCAAAAAACAAAGAAACAACTCACAAAACCCCACCTGATTTAATGTTCTCCTTAACTTTGATCTTTTCCAGGAGGAGCAAGAAGATTCAGATCAACAAGACCAACGCAGGTAAGGAAGGACACATGGTTGCATGCTGGGAGAGCTGGCTGCTGTGTAGGCATAGACTCAGATCCCTCACAAGGCCCTCTCTGTCCTTCTGGATGCCATCAGGAGAACCATAGGCTCCCCCACCATAATGGGTAACTCTCTGGGCTTTTTGGTCACCAAAATCAATTTGGCACCAAGCTCTATTAATCTGTTTCTTTAGTCTTTTCTTCTTTCTTTTCCTTTTCTTTTTTTTAATTTTTTTAAAATATTTATTTATTTATTATGTATACAATATTCTGTCTGTATGCCTGAAGGCCAGTTGAGGGCGCCAGACGTCTTTACAGATGGTTGTGAGCCACCATGTGGTTGCCGGGAATTGAACTCAGGACCTTTGGAAGAGCAGGCAATGCTCTTAACCACTGAGCCATCTCTCCAGCCCCCCTTTCTTTTCCTTTTTGAGACAGGGTTTCTCTGTAGCTTTAGAGCCTGTCCTGGAACCAGGCTAGCCTCGAACTCACAGAGATCCATCTTCCTCTGCCTCCTGAGTGCTGGCTGGGATTAAAGGTGTGCGCCCATCTTGAGATGCTTCTTTATTCTCTCTCTCTCTTTTTTTTTTTTTTTTGGTTCCTGTCCTGGAACTAGCTCTTGTAGACCAGGCTGGCCTCCAATTCACAGAGATCCGTCTGCCTCTGCCTCCCGAGTGCTGGGATTAAAGGCGTGTGACACCACCGCCCGGCGCTTCTTTATTCTTGATTTCCAGTTCCACACATGACCCTAGCCGGTACTTTTCCCTTCACATCTGCAGCATCCATTGAATATGTTGATTGACTGACATATTCAAAAGCACGCACCAGAGGCTCTTTACGTGCCACACCGCCTTTTCCCAGGGGGGTGACATCACACGGGTGCATACCAAAATCCTAGAAACTCCTTTCTAGACGACATTCAGAGTTCATGCTGGGGTGCCAGAGATATGTAAGGTGGAGAGGTCTTCACTTCTTTCAGGGTATTGCCATATATGATAGGACCAGGACAGATGGAGTAGGTGAGGCCATGTGAGAAGCTGTGACGTTCTAGAAGCGTTAGCTGCTTCCCTATTGCCAAATTCTAATCTATCTCGAGTCTTCTGGATGTGGTCCCTCAGCAGCCTCTCCATCCTTCCTGTCTCCCCTGATAACGTGCTCCCTGCCTCATGTCTACCCCAGCCACATCTGTTTCAGTCCAATTTTACCCACACAATTTGTCATACCTTAGTCATCCCACACTCACTTCCTTCCCCCGAGGAGCTGCTCTAAACCCAGCTGTCCTAAATCCTACCCCACATGTTCCTGCCAAGACTCGGCTTTCGTCCTAACCTCTCACACTGTTTTCTGGTTCTCTTCTAGGCATAAGGCCTATTTCTTAATGAATTTTAAATTGCGTGCATGCCTCTAAGTCATCCACAGCACAAGTGCAGAGCTGGGGACACAACGAGAGTTCAATAAATATCAGTACCTAAGATCATTGACAAATTAATTCTCCATCGTGGCTCAGAGACAGCTAGATCATGCTATATTTTGAGATGTGGAGGAGGTTGGAGATCCTAGGAGAACTAGGATCCAAATCAGAACATTTTACAAATTCATGTCTAAAGGTGGAATAAATAAATAAAGGTCTGAGGGAATGCGGGCAAAAGGAATGGTTGGCTCTCACCTTGATGTTTAAAACAACCGCTGGTAGAGCAGGAGAGATGGTTAGGTGGTTAAGAACACTGGCTGCTCTGGGCTGAGGACCCAGGTTCGATCCCCAGCTCACATGACAGCTCACAACAGTCCTGGGGGAACCAACACCATCTTCCAGTCTCCATGGGCACCAGGCATGGATGTGGTACACAGACTTACATGAGGGCGAAATAGTCACACCACATAAAACATAACTAAAGCTAGAAAACAAAACAACTGCTGGCAACTGACCCGTTTTCAACACTAAGAGGCGATCGAGAGCGGCGGAGACAGGAGGAACAAAAACAGTGGCGGTACTAGCTAAGACTTTGACTAATCGCCGCCATGCTGGCACGTAGTCTGTTATCATCAGCTACTCTGGATTTTTTTTTCAAGAGAAGCCCCAAGTCTGAATTTTTAAATATACCCTGTAAAGAGAAGTGCAGCATATATCCTCAAGCTTAGTGGGCAAGGAAGATGTACCAAAGGGAAGGCTCTCGTGGGCACTGAAGATGGAGGTGGCGGCTGCCAGCTCCTGCGTCCTGACAAGAGAGCCGAGCCTCGCTTCCTCCCCATCTGGGACTGCTTTCCCACATGCCGTGACCTTTGACACGATGTCAACTATTTTTTCTGTTTTTATAGCGCATTCAAGAACATTCGCAAACACACACACTTTAAAATAGTTTATGAAGTTAGAGACAAGGAAAACAGAATATTCAAGAATGTTTCCAATGAGTGCTGGGCCTGGAGAGAAAAGGTTTTGAACTTCAGGATATCTGGGTAGGTGTGGCGGTGCATACCAGTTATTGCAGACCTTGGAGAGCTGAGCTGGGAGAAATATCTCAAGCTTAAAGCCAGCTTGGTCTATATGGCAAGTTACAGGATAGCCTGGGCTACATAGGATCTTACTAGAGCCTCGGACAACACCAAAAGAAATTTTAGAATATCTAATGTTGAAATGTTCTTAGGTTGATTTTAATGATCCACGTTGGGATGTGTTTTGGACCTTGTTTTCTTGCTGGGTCAAGTACTGGCCAGAAAAGGGAAGCTACATGCCAGGCTCTTGGGACCCTTACTATCTCCTACTGAGCCATGTCCTAAACCCTCTATTGGAACTTCTGGATTAAAATAACGAGAAGGGCAGGGAAATAACTCAGCCAGTAAAGTACTTGCCTTGTCAGAATTTGACCCTCAGAACTCATGGGGCTTCAGAGATTGTCTTAGGGGTTTAGAATGCATATTGCCCTTCCTGAGGATCTAAGTTTGGTTCCTAGCATCCAGTTCGGTAGCTCAGAACCTGTAACTCCAGCTCCCAGGGGAGCTCCGGTTTCTGAGACTACTTCCTTCACTTGTACTCACACAGGCACACATGCATGCACATGTATGCACACACAGACACATGCATGGAGGCACTCATGCGCACATGCACACTTAGTTAGACATTGTGGTGAATGCCTGTAATCCCAGCCTTTGCGAGGCAAGGAGAGGAGGAGTCAGGAGCTCAAGACCAACCTTGACTGCACAAGAGTTCCAGCGGTTGGGCATGGGGATTGCAATGCAGTTGAGACAACCAGAAGCCCAAAGTTCACCTGTGTGTCCCTATTAGCAGGTGCACAAGTCAATTCTTGGTCTTGTTGAAATGCTGTTTCTAACTCATTAGACCCGGACATAAGGACTTGAAATCAGGTATTTCTAATATGATCCCCACTGATACCAAGGTTTTACTTACATTTTGAATAGCCAGGAGCAAAGGGTTTAAGAATAGGCTCTGGCTTTGCTCTTCTGGTTTCAAGGCCATTGTCAGTTTAGCCAACTGAATATATCCTTGGGGAGATTAGCTCAGTAAACCCGCAATTTTACTCAACAGGATGTAGTTAGTGGTTAAGAACACAGACTCTCAAATCAGGTTGGTTGGCTTTGCATATTGACTCTGCCTCATGATAATATGGTCGTTAGTAAATCAATCAGCCTCTGTGGACCTCAGAGTTCTTATCTGTAAGGTGGGGATTGTGGGAGAGTTACCACCAATGATAAAAGCAAGAATGTGTAATTGTCTAACAGATCTCGTATATGATGGCTTCCTCTCCCCACAACTATTAGCTGTTAGCTTCCAGAGTGTTTTGTGGGCTGGAGTGCAAATATATTCCTTTTCTTGACTAGGGAAAGCTACTCCCAGTGAAGACAGTGTCCCCTGTACTCGCGATCTCAGCTGGAGGGATGCGCTGACTTACGGAGAGTGGGAAAGAGAGAACCCCTCTGGGCCACAGCCCCTCTCACTCCTCGGCACTCTGGCTGCCTCCAGCAGGCCTCGGCTGTCCCTGACTGGAGGTACGGTGGTCAGAAACAGGACTGTGTCCTAGGGTCCTCAGGGTGATTCCAAATGCTGTGTGAAGAGGATGGGTTGCTGGCCACAGTAACCTTACCCTCCTCTCTTCTTCTCCCTTGTTTACTCTGCCTCGATAATAATGAGTGAAATTCTACAGTGTGGTATCTCCAGATACCACTGAAGGGCACTGAAGGGCAGACCATTCAGCTGGTGCTCTGGGGCCTTCTCTTCCTGCTGTGTAAGAGGATAGAGGCCCTTCTCCTGGAGCTCAGCAGCTCCTGTGGCTCTTTCCTCCCCTCCCCTTCCCTAGAGCTCTTGGTGTCTTCCTAGCTAATGGTGGTGGGGTAGTAAAGGGACGAGGAGCCGGACTGAAGGGCTGAGTGAGGACAAACTTCCCTGGGTCCCAGCCTCTCCCCCTCCAAGGTGCCCCATCTATCCTACATCGATTCAACAAGCACTGTGAAACACCTTCTGTGCATTGGGTCTGGCAGTCCTAAAGAGGGTGGGTTGATTTGTTTTTCTAATTCATAAAAATAAAAATACTTATTTTTGTATTTGCAAAAAATAATCTTTATTTTTAAGGTAATTTTTAAGTTAACACACCAAGCTGTGGTTTCACTATGGCATTTTTCTTGTTTTCTGTTAGTAATGATTACACCTCAGATAAACCGTAGTGGCTCTCTTGCCAGTGTACAAGCAGTCACTCTGGCATTTCCTAAGTAGATGTCCTTATATTTTGTTCTCCTGTCCCCCCTCGCTGCCCTCGCTATTCCCACTGCTCCCTTCTTGCAGGTCCCCATCCCTTTCCTGTCACCTACATTGCTTTGCTCTATCTTTTTGCTCTTCTTCCTGCCTCCCCACGATCCCTTTCTACTTTCATGATCTTCTTACAATATGCACACAAAACAAGCAAATGTGGTAAAACTTTAGATAGCATCAACAAAATAATATCATATGAAAGAAAATTCGTGAAATTCTTCCAAAAGACCATTTATTAATAACTGAAAAGTTTTCAATGTAAGTAGGAGCCAAAGCGGTCATCCTGCAGTTGAGAATAAGAATGCACACGACTCTTCCAGAGGACCTGAATTGGTTTCTAGTAGTCATTTCAGGTGACTCCCAACTGCCTGTAACTCCAGCTCCAGATCTGATGCCTCAGGCCTCCACAGACACCTGCACTCACGTGCACGGATCCCCCATCCAAGTAATTAAATACATTCAAAATGAAAATGTAAATAAGAACAAGTGCCCCCCCCCCCCGTGGCCTCACTTTCCAAGGTTTCAGTTAACCACAACCACATACAGCCCCAAAATTAAATGGAGATTCAATATTGAGAGAGAAACCATAGCCACCATAACTTTTGTTAGATCACAATTGTTTGATTTAATTATTAGGCATGTTGGTAATCTCGTGCCATGCCTATGAATTAATCTTTGTTTAATTTGTCTATATCAGAAGAAATGATATCTATAAAGTTTAGAGTTGTCAGGAGATAAATCCCCAGAGACAAAGGGCTATCGTTGTGTCTGTGCGTTCACAGAAGAGTGTTTCTGGTAACCTATATGAGTTTGACCACTTTCTGTCCGACATTCACAGGAATCTCTATATGACGGATCCTTTCCCATTGGGGAGACTTTGTGCAGTCCACACCATCACTTCTCTTCAGTATTCAGTTTCTGGGAACTCTACCTGATCAGAAGGGAGGAGGAAATGGCCACTAGGAGCAAAGCCGAGTTATTGCAGCTCCGAGAAGAATGCTTCTTCATCCTGTCAGCCTCTCCACGTCTTCTCACAACCGCCTGAGGGTACAGCAACCTGCATCCCATGGCACCACGCAGGTAGACGAGCCAGGAGAACAGTGCGAGGGGAGCAAGCCCAGGGGAACAGTGGACAAGAGCAAATCAGAGCGGAAGCTGGCACGAGGGAGTCAGAGAAGAGAGGCAGGAAGAACAGTCATAACACAAGTTGAACAGGAGAGACCCGGGAGAAAAGATGAAGAGAACTACACAAGAAGCACATCTCTGAGAGATACCCGGCCAAGCATCTATTTATCTAATTTAAAAAGTAAAGCCATAAACCAAGCAGATGATGTGGTTTCCTCTCTGCTCAGATGACTCCGGAACAGCTTCATCCTTCTTCTCTGCCTAGTGCCCAGTTCAGGCTTGTTCACCCGGCAGTGGATTGCAAGCTAAGGAACAAGCTTTTGTTTGGGTTTTGAGGTAGGGTCTCTTCTGGGAGGTGGTGGTGCACGCCTTTAATCCCAGCACTTGGGAGACAGAGGCAGGTGGATCTCTGTGAGTTTGAGGCCCGGCTGTGAGCCTTGAGGACAGTCAAGGCTGTTACACAGAGAAACCCTGTCTCAGTGAGGGGCAGGCGAGATCTCACCTATGCTACTTCATGGATGCTGAGATTACAGTCATTTTCAACTACTCCAAGTTTACCAAATACAGGGCCTCATAGATGCTAGGCAAGCATAATTCACAATCTGAATTATATCGCCAGCCCCTCTTAGAACCAGATTTTCCCAGGAGATTGGAAGACAAAGTGTTAAGGTAAGGTGAATTTGCATTTTGTTGTTCAAACGTACTAGGTACTGAGACAGTCTGGGAAACTGGCACACTTTCTTTTGGGTTGACAGTCCCTGAAATATGGACAAACCTGCTTGGCATACCTTTTGAGTGCTCCTTAAATTAGCCATCCCATATAACATCAACACTCCTGCTGCCTTCTCTGCTTTATTTCACTCCGTTGTATATATTGCCATCTCTTCTATCGGCTTTTTAAAATCTGACTGACTGTTTCACCTGTTCCTACAGATCAGAATATAAGCACCATGAACTCAATCCCCTTTTGTTTACCACTGCATCCACAGTGCCCAGAGCATTGCCTGGCACACAGAAAACACTTCTTTCATTTGTGGGGTGTTCATTCGTACCACAGGAGCAGAGTCAGGACACTCAGAGGGGAGCATCAGCCTTTTCAGTCAAAGCCATCGTGCCTACCCACAGTAGACCAGAGACCAGACGTGAGGTTCTCAGAGACAGAATGGGCAAGTAGGCCTTGAGTATAGTTGGTGGTATCTTTTCTTTATTTTTTTTAAAAACATTTTATTTATTTATTATGTATACAATATTCTGTCTGTGTGTATGTTTGCAGGCCAGAAGAGGGCACCAGACCCCATTACGGATGGTTGTGAGCCACCATGTGGTTGCTGGGAATCGAACTCAGAACCTTTGGAAGAGCAGGCAATGCTCTTAACCACTGAGCCATCTCTCCAGCCCCTATCTTTTCTTTATTAATATTGTTGTTATTTAAGTTTTTTTTTTTATTACACATACAGTGTTCTGTCTGTATGTTTGCCTACATTACCAGAAGAGGGCACCAGAGCTCATTACATACATGGTGGTTGTAAGCCATCATGTGGGTACTGGGAATTGAACTCCGGTCCTCTGGAAGAACAGCCAGGGCTCTTAACCTCTGAGCCATCCCTCCAGCCCTAGTGGTATCATGTCTTAGAGTGCCACTCCTAAGACCTCTTCTTTTACTGACTACTTCCTAATTCGGTCTTAATTTTCCTCTCTCTTGGAAGGGCTCCAACACTTCTGCTATGGGACAATGGCCTGTATTCTGTCAACTGTATTTTAACAGAATGCTGATTGGCCAGTAGCCATGCAGGAAGTATAGGCGGGACAACCAGACAGGAAGTAGAGGCGGGTCAATGAGAACAGGAGAATTCTGAGAAGAGGAAAGCCCATTCCTCTGCAGTCCTGGCCCAGCCACAGAAGAAACAAGATATGACTGCCTCGCTGAATGAGGTATCGAGCCATGTGGCTAACATAGGAGTTAATAAGAAGCCTGAGATACTGGGCCAATCAGTTTATAACTAATGTAGACTTCTGTGTGATTTCTTTGGGATTTAACAATTGCGGGAACTAGCAGGACAGAAAACACAGTTCCCTCCTGGACAAAGACTCCAGTACCTCCACCAGCCTCTGATTCTTTCCATCACCTCAACTCACCATGCCACTCATTTCCTGCATCCAGGAACCAGGACCATTCTTTAAAGATTTCATTTTGCTGTGCTGGGTTTTGAACTCTGGGCCTTGTGTGTACTAGGCAAGCAATTCTACCACTGACCCACAGCCATAGCCCAAACATTTAAGCTTTGAGTGCCACCTTAATTTCTTTCATCCCGGTCACTAACTCGAAAACTTATTTCAATTTTATATTTATGTTCTCTCTCTCTTTCTCTCTCTCTCTCTCTCTCAGTTGCTATGATAAACACTGATTTACTTAGCTATAGGTTACAGTCTATCACTGAGTGCAGCCAAGGCAGGAGCTGAAGCAGAGACCATGCATGAGCAGTCTTTATTAGCTTGTTCAACTACCTTTCTTAAACAGCTCAGGTTCTCTGCCTAGGGGGTGCACTCCCCACAGTAGACTGGGACTTCCTACATGAATTATCGATTCAAAAACTACTCCACAAAGGCCAGTTTGATGTAAGTGATATCCCAACTGAGTTCCCTCTTCCCAAGTGACTCTGGGTTGTGTCTATAGCTGACGCTAACTGTGACCCCATGTATATGTTTTCTTATTTTAGGTACAGCCTTCTGGGGTTTTATTGAAAATTATCTGATTAAAACTTGTTCTTAAAAATTTTATTTTTAAAATAACAATAATTGGCTAAGTATCAAAAACTAAGTTAGAAAAGGAGATACAATGGTTATAGATCAGATATATGTTTGATTTAAAAAAGTTAAAGAAAAAAATGCTTTAGTTGAGAAAGGAATTTGTATGGTAAACAAAGGTTGTTCCAAAGTGGAAATGTGTGATAATAATTTTAAAAGATTGGATTATATTGTAGAAAGATTGCGAAAATAAAACTTAAAGTTGATCTAGCTGAACGGAACAAGCCCCCCCACACACACACCACGCTCCTTACTACAGAATGGCACCCAACATGGGTGTGTTACAAAGAAAGAAAAGAAGGAAGGAAAGAGGGAGGAAGGGAGGGAAACGAAGGCAAAGTCAGG